TCCATGGCCACGACAACAACGCCCGTCAATACGGCCGCTTTGATTGGTGGAATAGATGTTAAACCTCAGTGGGATGATAAATGTTACAACTTAGATGAAAGCGATACAAATATTACGGCCCTTGAGGAATATGCAAAATTCGAATTTCAGGTAAAATTACATGAACTGGGCTGCCAAAGTTGGCAGCGAACAACATGTTATCATAAATTTATGTTTCCTTTATTTTCTTGTTTCTTATTCCTTTATTTATTTACTTTCGGTATTGTGGGGTAAAACTAACGATGATACATACATATATATATATAGCCCGAATGGTTGCGTACTAAGGAGTATTGGGATAGAGGTTTTGAGGAACGTTTTGAAGCTCAAAAACATGATAAACAACGACCACCACTAAAGGTAAATGAACTATACATAGTCGCTACATATATATATATATGTATATAAATAATATTGCTGTATATAGAAAGCTATGCATTATAATATAACCTTCTATAGTAGGGAGAGGGAGCGCAAAATTTAGAGTAATTTATATACCGCAAAATGCAATAATCTACTTATCCTCAAGTTATACGTATTTATAAGCGAAGCATAGTTGCCTACCACACGTTAATCTGAACTCTAATTAAACTTGGAAAACACGTTCAAGTGCTTTAAAGCTTAAAAGTGTTTAAAAATTCAGTTTTTTAATAATATTCAGCGCACTAGAATATCGAAAGTTACGCTGATCTATCTGTCTACCTAGAAGCTCTTCCCTCATGTCGTCCTTTTCTTGGTAATAGAATTCTTTAGGTGAGAGAGGACTTTACTCCAGTTGAGTTTAGAATAATGTTCCATTCTCTTTTACCTTACACTTCGTTAGCTCAATAATGGGCAGTGGTTGGAAAAATGATCTCATCCCAAGTATTTTCAATAGTGCTCATCCTTGAGTTGGTAGTTGACATTTCATCAAAATGTCTCCAAAATTGTGAACCCTGTAGGTTAAAGAAAAGAAAACGAGACGGACAGAAGGACAGACAAGCTTAGATCGCTATAATAAGAGGCGGGGCCACCTCAAGTCTTTCTAGGAGTTGTACACATTCGCACGAACTTAATTCATTTTGGAAGCACGAGTGATGGTGTAGGGTATAAAACCTGAAGATCAGAACAACAATGAAGTTATAGCCCCCTATCGGCTTTCTAAATAATTTCCATACCTTTGAATAAATACTTCCCCACGTACATGCTTAAGTTTAGGAAGTGAGGTATAGCTTAGGATTATAATCCTATATTTCGACTTTGGAATGCTTCCTCCCTAACCCGGACAAAAGTTGTTAAGTATTAATAGTCTAAACTAAGCAACACAATTAAATATTTAAAGACTCTTCTCTCTATCCTCTAGTAAAATAATTATTAAGTGAGATGTTTATATATATACAAGAATTTTATCATTTACCCTATTTAGGTAATTGTCGTTCCTCATTCTCATAACGATCCCGGTTGGTTGAAAACCTTTTTAAATTACTTTCAAAGCGATTCACGGCAAATTTTAAATCTGATCGTCACTAAAATGCAAGAGTATACCGACATGACTTTTATCTGGTCTGAAATAAGTTTCTTGCAATTGTGGTGGGATCAAGCGCATCCAACGAAACAGCGAGCTCTGAAACGTTTGATAAATTCGGGACGTTTTGAAATTACAACTGGTGGTTGGGTAATGACCGACGAGGCTAACGTTCATCTCTACGCCATGCTGGATCAATTAATTGAAGGTCATCAATGGTTAAAGAATAATTTAAACGTTACACCCACAGTAGGTTGGTCTATCGATCCTTTCGGCCATGGTAGTACAGTGCCTTATCTCTTGGCCAATAGCAATTTCGAAGGTGCTATAATACAACGAATCCATTACGCTTGGAAACAATGGTTCGCACGACAAATGAAAGGCGACTTCATCTGGACCCCATATTGGCAGGAGCGAGGACAAACTGATACCCAACAGAACGATCGTTTGCTGATACACAATATGCCCTTCGATATCTATTCCATTAAGAATTCTTGTGGTCCTCATCCGTTTATATGTTTGGACTTTGATTTTCGTAAAATACCTGGCGAGTATACTGAATACTCGGTCCGTGCCCAGTTCATAACTGACGAGAATGTAGAAGAAAAGGCTCAATTACTATTGGAGCAATATGCTCGAACTGGTTCTCTATTTCCTCATAATGTGGCCCTAATACCGGTAGGTGATGATTTTCGTTACAACGAAGAGCGTGAAATCAAACAACAATATACGAACTACAAAAAACTAATTGATCACATTATGAATAACAAGCGTATGTATAATGTAGATATAAGTTTTGGTACACCGAAGGATTATTTCCGAGAAATTCGTAAACGTACGAAAGACTTTCCCACCTTTAAGGGAGACTTTTTTGTATATTCCGACATCTTTTCGGAAGGTCGACCGGCCTATTGGTCGGGATTTTACACGACCAGACCTTATTACAAAATATTGAGCTCGGATCTCGAACATAATCTACGAGCCGCTGAGATATTGTTCACTTTAGCTTATAACACAGCCCGCCAGCAGAAGCACGAAAACGCAATTAAAATTTTCGAAAAGAACTATGAGAAAATGATACATGCCCGCCGAAATTTAGGATTATTTCAACATCATGATGCCATCACCGGCACTTCCAAGGCAGCTGTTATGCGCGATTATGGTATGCGTTTATTTGAGAGCATACAAGACGTCGTACATATGCAAGTATCTTCTATTGAGCTACTTATACAAAATGGAAGTTCGAAACATAATTTCCTATTAAGTGATATTGAGCGAGATAATTTTAGTAAGTTGCCACGTAAAACCCCTATTCCCCTCACAGTGACCAGTCAAACTGGGGACTTTTCAATTGAATTCTCTTCGAATAGCGGCGATGGCAAGAGCTCCTCATTCGTAGTATTTAACCCTCTAGCATATCGGCGAGTCGATTTTCTAATAGTACGGACACCTATTTGTAAAGTGAAAATTTTAAACGAACGTGGCGAAGAGTTACGGAATGTACAAATTAATCCGGTATGGAATATAATCGATCCGGATGAAAATGTTTTTGGGAATACAGTAAATGGTGCGGGCTTGGGTCGTATTCGCACTTCAAAACGCGTATATGAAGTACTCTTCATGGTCGAATTGGATGCACTCGCCTTGACCACCTATCAAGTAGTTATCGATGAAGTGAATTATAAACGCTTAATGTCCACCATATATTGCGATGATTGTACGGATCGTAATGAAAATACCGATTCGCCCAAATCGACACCAGAAGAAGAGTTTCCCATACGAACTAAACCGTCCGGCGATATCCAATTGGAAAATAATCGTATGCGTTTACTGTTTGAGGAGAAGACTGGATTTTTAATAACTCTTTCACGTAAGGGTGAGAATCAGCAGCTAATGAAACCGATGCCATGTGCCATAAAATTTGCTGCTTACCGTAGTGCACAATTTCATTCAGGCGCTTATCTTTTCAAGACCGATCCCGATCAAACTGAAGCTGAGACCGATGTTCTCGAACAATATGAGGAAGACGTACGGATTATTATTACCTCGGGATCAATAGCTAGCGATGTGACGGTGTTATGGGGTCCATTTCTAGCTCATACAGTACGTCTTTTTAACACTCATACTTTCTTAGACGGAGCCATATTCATAGAAAATGACATTGACTTTGAACCGCCACCGAAAAATCGTGAAACTGAGTTATTTATGCGTTTTATAACCGATATCGATAATATAGCCACAGTCAATAAGAATCTGCTTAAAGAAGGTGAACCCATACCAGAATTACCACAATTTTACACCGATCAAAATGGTTTCCAATATCACAGGTGAGAAGTTTAACCTTGACTTAACTATTCAAAAAACAAAAAAAAAAAAAATCTTTGTAACTTTTTCTTATTTGCTTCCAGGCGTGTTAAGGTTCCATCAATAGGTATTGAGGGCAACTATTTCCCCATCACTACAACTGCGTTTATGCAAGATGACAAAATACGTCTCACTTTATTAACTACTCATGCCCAAGGAGCCGCCAGCTATGAACCGGGTCAATTGGAGGTAATGCTAGACCGGCGAACCTTATACGATGATTATCGCGGTATGGGCGAAGGTATTGTTGATAGTCGTTTAACACGTCATAAATTTTGGTTGCTAATCGAAGATGTAAACGCCCGTATTCCCGAGCCCTCATCTACACCTAATACCTATCAAGTGCCCAGTTTATTAGCCAATTATTTGGCCAATAGTTTACGTTATCCGGCCAATATTTATTTTATAGAGAATTTTGATAAGTCTTTGCAACTTAAAACCAAAGTTAATTTACTTGAATCCAAAACTTGGCCCTGCGATATTCATTTGTTAAATTTGCGCACCCTCTCCGAAGAACAACTGCAATTGTTCCCTTCATCATCAGCCTTAATGATATTACAGCGACAAGGTTACGATTGTAATGTAAATAGTCACTTGATCGACATGACGCGTGTCTGCCCATTCACTAACGCGGAGGGATTAGGTAAAGCAATTTTCAATAGTTTGGAGATCGAACGAATTGAAAAAACGACTTTAACGGGTTTGCGTACCGAAGCGACAACACAACGTAAACGCTTAAAATCATTTGCTGATATAAATCTAAGACCCATGGAATTATTGACTTTTAATTTAACATTTAGAACTTAACTTTAGAATCTGACTGATTTTTTCTTTTTCTTTTTTTTTTATTATTTTTTCCATTATTTCCTTAAATGTTAGAAAAAAAAAATGTACAAATAGCTTTTATTTTATTAAATATGGTTTCATCCTATCAGCTAAGTTATTATATTAATTAAAAGTCACAAATCATTCCATACAATAGCTTTTTGAACCAGTATTTGTTTTAATCATAAACATAATCATATATTTGAAATCGAATATTATAATCTAAACTGTGAACAATTGCAGTTTAATATAATCTAAACAAACATAATTTTAAATTGAATTTCCCCTTGAGCATAAAAATTTACCTAAAAATCTACTTTTAGGTTATAGGTTGCATTTTATTTTCACATAACCTACACAATCCTAAATGATACGAGGATCACCTACAAACGAAAATTCATAGTTTAACCATCTTTGTTTATACGTTGTTATATTTTACTTTGACATAACCTACATAACCTTTAGTGATACTTTTCCTAACGCAACTATAATTTCCCTTTTCCTATTTCGTAACTCCATTTCAATGTATATTTCGATCAGAGACTTTTCGAAAATATAATTCCAACTTATTCTCCAAAATGTTTTTTTTTTAATTATTTAAAAAATATTCTAAAAATTATATTGAAAGTAGTGCAATATCTGCCAATACGTCCTTAAAATTAAAAAAAAAAAAAAAAACAGTAATCAGAGTTGATATATCAAATTATGCTCTCTGATATACATATTTTTACTAAATATATGTAATGTACCTTTTTTTTACTAAGCGAATTATATATATAATTGTATGTGTACACAGAATTTATTTTTTTGTTTTATGAAAATCATTTTTTTTTTTTTTTTTTTTGTTAATATACATGTACTTTTTTTTTTTAGCTTAATAAATTACTTCAATTATCTCTTAATTGGGTTTTTAAGAAAAATGTGTAGAAAAAAAGGATTTATTTCTCAGGCATTATATAATGAAAGAAAAATTACATACATATTTCTATATATATAAATATGTTTATTGACGTAAGAATGAAAAGTATTTTACACAGTAGAAATATCTCGATACCAACAAAAACAACAACAACAATACTCACACACATCCAAATTATTATTAGCATTATTAATGTAATTAAGGCACTAATTTAATTTTTTAAAAATTAAAATTATTATAAACCACCAAAATCAATCCATTATTATTCGCACACTGTGAAAATATTGGAGAAAAAAATATTAGAAAATAGAAAATATATTTATGTTAAAAAGTAATTATATTCGGTTTAATCGGATCGTTCAATAATCTATACCGCATATAATCTATTTTTAATTATTTTTAAATTTCCTTCACAGCAATAATAAAAAATCGAATCTTTTGTTATCCTGGAAGCAGCCTGAACAGACAAGTGGCTGAAAATTACAAAATCTTGTTTGTTAAAGACAGTTGGTCGATATACCGATCGACTAAAATTCATTTTCTGTATCGATCTACGCTTATTTGTCCGTCCGCCTGTTGGTCTTGTTTTCTTGTGCTCAACGTGCATACCGTAATTTCCGAAATATTCAGATGAAATTTGGCATACTGACATACTTTGCTCCAAGAACGAAGTTTTGTTGAAAATGGTTTGGATCGGACCATTTTCACGGAAAGTTCCCATATAAAGCTTTATTATTGGAAAGTCATTAAATGAACAATTGGAGGGATGGTACAGAATGTTTCATGGTCGCCTGTGGTGTTATTACCTACTCCCGGTACACATACACATACCTTGGTTTGAATTTTGTTTGTAAACGATAGCCAACTCTTTCTTTCGCGGGATATACGTTGCTTAGAAAATCCTGCAAAAAAAAATTGTGTAAAAAAATGCATGCGACATATTGCCAAATTTGCAACCTTAAATAATCGTGTAAAATGAAAAAACTGTAAAAATTTTCCCAAAGGACCGTGCAAAAAAAAATCGTGTAAAAAATTGCAAAATTTAAATATGTGTTCTACAACTTTAAAAGGTCGTGTATGGTGAAAAGACTGTAAATATTTTTCCCAAGGACCGTGCAAAAAAATTCAGAATGAATTTCATATTACATATATATAAAACGAAAACAAATAATTTTTATTATAAAAAAAAATAAAATAAAATTAGTGTACAGGCAAAATTCAGTCCATAAGTACAACATATAAAATTTTGAATTGACTTTAGGAATAAAAATCAATTTCACAATTTCGCTTGATAGCAAACTGAACACTCTAACACCAAATAAGTGCTGAATACCGAAATGCTGTGTTCCCCGCGGTAGACCAAGTCATTAACATATGCATGGGCATAAACCCATCGACTTCTGTTCACGCCATTTCCACAATTATTTGTTGTTGCTGCATACGCAAATTTCTGTAAGAATTGGAAGAAATGTTTTTTTCTTTTGGATTCGTGTTAGAACAAAAAATTCGTGCCAAAAGCTCGCCAGATAAAAAATACCGCTAAGTATGTCACTTGAAATGTGAAGAATTAAAGATCGGCGTTCAATAGCATAAACCTTTCAAAGAGCATGTGATGTAGATTATAATTGAATAGAAAATATAGCAAAAAAACTTTGCACACACACTTTATTATAACCTAATTCGAAAAAAAAAAAAATATATATATATATATATATCTAAAAGATAAAAATTATAGAATAGAATAATTATGAAAAAACAAACAAAACTTAAAATTAAAAGAAACGGTTAAGTAAATAATAAAAAAAAAAAATACTTTAATTTCTATTAAATAGTTCTCCTTACCTCCTAAGCTACGAATATTACTGTCAACCGAAAAGTAGTCGCCATGAAAATAAAAAAAAAAAAGACAAATCTAAAATTTAATCTGGGATATCTTAGAAAATGAACACACACACACACACACACACACACACATACATACATACATAAACTGTTATTAATCTTTTAAGAAAACATAGTTTTAATGTTAATTACAGACTTGTTTTAAGTTTTGAAAATAATTTTATTCATGCACATTACTTTTTAATAGTCAAGAGTGTAGGATTTGTAACGGCTATGCCTGCAAATCCTCATTGTCTGTCGGAGTACTGACTTTATTATTTTTAAGGCTACTCTTGAGTGGCACTTGGAAAGGAACGCCGGTTGTACGCATGTCGGACGCATGTGTCATTGCTGAGCTAGCTAGGTTGGGGGGATATGGAGGGGTTTTCAATTTTGGTCAAAGAGACATTCCACACACGGTTACATCTAAAATAAATAGACATGCTTTACCTTTTGTAGGAATAAACGAACTGATGAAACCTGCTTACCAAACGGGCCGATCACAAGTCCTGGTCTTATGCCGTGTAGTCTGCCCTACGTGTGGTCTTCTTCGACCTATGATTTTTAATAGGAGATCCCGCAGGGCTTTGCGATGACACGAGCGTCCGTCTCTATAACCTCCGATCCTCTTCAAGTGACACTTAAGAGTAGCCCTAAACGTAATAATTACTTCGAATAACAGACAGACATTGAGAATTTCTAGATCTAGCTGTTACAGATTATCTAAAATAAGTACTTTAATTGTCACTTATCATAACTGGGGAAAAGCAAACGACATAATTTTCACTGAGTGCAATGCTGAATCTTTTGCTTTTAAAGTTTTTTCCTTTATTTGTATAGAGAGGATTGCCAGGCATTTAACACTAGATTGGCGTATGTTGAATATATGTCTACTTTGCCTGAAAGAGATCATATTTGGTTCAAAAGGACAAACCTCAAGATTTATTTGTTTTTTTTTTTTTAATAAACTATATTCAAAGCTGACACGCCCTATTTATGTAAATGGGGCGTGTCAAAATTTATTCCACATCTCAATTAAATAGAAAAGAGATTTTTTTTTATCGATTCATAATATAGTGGAATAGCGCATCAGGCAAATGGCCTTTTATTGTGTAATGTTATTAACAATCAATCAGTAAATATTATTTGCACCCATACGTTTGCGAAACCCCAAAGAAAGCTCGAGAGACCGCTTAGAGTATACATATTCTTTGATCAGCAAGAAATTCTTAATCGATGTCTGTCTGCAGTAAACATTCTCTTGATCGCAAAAATGAAGCTATTAACTTCAAATTCGGCGTTGGAGGCTCTTGCGCAAGCAGGTTCGCATTGAAAATGGAACAATATTGTCAAAGCACTAGCCCACAATACGACGTGAACTCGAAACATATCTGGTTTTTCAAGGATTTTTGGTTATTACTCATGAATTATAAAAGATAAAAAGTAGAAATTTTCTATATTTACTTGGATGGAGAAAAAATGAAAAAAAGATCAGTCACGCCCACATAAAGTTATGAGTAACCAAGTTTCCATTTCTGCTTATTATTTATAAGCTAAACAAGAAAGAATTTTGAAAATTATTTTGCGCATTCTTTATATGAAGATATACCATATCCACTTTTTTGGACTTGGAGAGAAGACATAGATACAATAACACTGATGGATATAAAAGATTAAGTTGATACTGAATATAATTTTCTTAATTGTTAAAAAAATTTTTTCAATTTTTTCAAATACAGATGGGGTCAATTTCACTTGTTCCGGCAATCTAGTGTTAAATTACATTTTCTGTTAGTCAATTGTTAGCCGTTGCAGATTCCTAAGCAAAGTCAGTCTATGCATACAGCAACTTGTAATTGAAGTCTTCGCAGACTTTCCAAACTAGAAGATTTATAGATAGGTCCAACAAAAGCTTTAAAAAGCAAAAGTGAATATTTTCCGTTTGCAGTGGAAACATCTAACAATAAAGCAAATTAAGTCCCTACGTCCAAGTGGCTATATTGAACTTCTAGTTCTCAAATATGACAATCCGAAGGAAACGTGGCTTAATCGTTTGAAAGCCTTTCGAAAAGTAATTAAACAAAATCTTAAACATAATCCAACGCCAACATGACATACGCCACTGTTCCTATGCCCGACAAATCTCATAAGGAAATGTTTTAACATTATTATATAAAAAATTTAAATAAGAAAATAAATCAATTTTATTTAGAAATACATAAAAAAGATAATTAAAAAAAAAAAAAAATAAATAAAAATTATCTGTTGTTATCATTATTATTATTATTATTTTTAGACTGATTAGCTTAAATATTTATTTGCCTATGAAATAAAATTTTATTAATGAAAAATGCATATATATACCGAACAGCTTTAACATTCACTTAATATATCTATCATTTATGTTTAAAATATACGAAAACAACAAGAACAACAACAAAAGCAACACTTGCCTTTTTAGCTAAAATATTTAAAACAACACTTTATGAAAACATATTTTAATTCACTATTTTTCATTTAAACAAAGGAAAAGAAGAAAAAAATAAAAAAAAAACAAAAAAAAAAACTAATGAAAATAAAACAAAACTCGTAAAAGTTTTTAAAAATTTCAAATTTTTAATAACAAAATTTTTACATTTAGGATTTTTTAACTGCACTTTACTAATGGTTTCAATTTTTTGTCAACGTTTTTTTTTTCCCGAATTTTCATTGTCATTGACTTTTTTCGTTCTTCTTTCGTGTTCGCCGTTGCATAAGTTTTCTTCTTCATTGTTGTTAAAGTTATCCTTACTTATAACCGAATTCGAATAATTTTCGTCTAGCACTTAGCGAGCTTTTGATCTGAAGACATATGGAGCACCTACTAATGCGTATTGTATAAAGTTGTGCTTAGAAGGGAGGTAAAGTATTGGTATTTATGGCAGGCATCATCAAGTCCGAAGACGTAGCGCTTACGTTTGCCAAATAAGTAAAAAGACGTCAGAACTTATGACAAGTCTTAAAAAATGAACTCTTTATGGGCCTATCTCGGTTAGTTTGTAATTTTTAGTCTGTTTGTTCTCCTCGGCACGCGTCTCTCTTCTAATTCTTTATTCAATTCGGCCAATTTTGTCCGCCTTTTACATTCTTTCTTGGAAAGATTTAGCACACGTTGACGATGTGCTTCCAATTTCTTTTGTTTCAATTCGTTTTCTTTTTCCAAGTCCAAGTTAACATTTTTTATTTTTAACGCCACTAGGCAAGTAATGCATTCCAAATTAACATTATTATTTTTGGTCTTGATTAAATGATTTATGCGACGTATTATAAAATGAGACATCTCTAGCTTTTTATCGTAAATACTTCTTTTTAATATTATACTTTTGAATTGGGATCGTTTTTTAGTACCCGAAAATATATATAGTAAACATCATTTTGGCCTAGTTGGCTGATACTTGCTTGTATAAAGTTAAGCTTAGACTACTTGACAGCCATGGATCATAGACTCGTTGTAAACCGGTGGTCGATAAATTATTCATTTTTATGCCCTACATCACTTGTGTCATACATCACTTGTGTCATATTAAGTGCATGGAGATGTATGTAATATCCGCGTGCTTTACACTACATTGATCGATTCAAAGTCATTTCGAAGGCGTTGTTGTTCTGATCTTCGATTTTTATACCCTGCACCACCACTCGTGCTTCCAGGATAAATTAAGTTTATGCGGATGTACACAACACTTAGAAGTATTTGAGATGGACCCGCCTTTCATTATGCAGATCTAAGTTTGTCTGTCTGCCCGCCCATCTATGTTCTTGTTTTTAACTCACAGGTTGCAAATTTTTGTGATATTTTGATGAAATTTGGCGGGACGTATCACTTTTTCAACTCTCATCCTAGTACAGTCGGTATTTGAGTAACTATATTAAGAAAAGTGGTGTATGAAATTTGGCGCACGGACAAGTTCTAGCAGGTATTAGTTGAGAAGATGCTTCGAATCGGATCATTTTCCTCATCAACTCCCACATAAGGTCTTCTTTTGAGAAATCTTTACGTGAATAACTGCATTAATCAAAGTTGACCTTAGCTTGTTCGCCTGTCTGTCTGTCAGTCTACAGGTCGCATTATTTTTCTTATACATATTATGATGAAATTTGTTGTACCGACGTGTTCATCATAAGGACGAGCGCTATTAGAAATGGTGCGGATCGAGCTACTTTTTCAACTAGCTTCCATATAACGGCAAATGGTGGACTATAGATCACTTTACACTTTAAATTCTTACTATCGTCAAATATTTCGATCGCAAATTACGATCGGGTTTACTCGAAATCGAAAATCGTAATTTGATCTCTGGCATGACGAGGGGCTACTATCTTTTTCCTCTTTTTTTTGAAATCGTTTATTCATGTCAGTTGAGCTATACGCACCGTTCGTGTCACAGTTCCAATACGCAATAGTTTCTCAAATATAAAACAAAAGCAAATAGATCGTGTAAAATTTTAGAGATGGCTGTCATTCTGAACACTTGTTTTAGGCGTGGCTGGAAACTGTGATTACCGGCGCCACTTTTTACGTTTCTTGCTACCTATTTATGTAAGGGGAAGCATTGCAAATACATAGCAAAGCTGTACACGCAGGCCCGTGAATCTCTTCCCCACAACGCGCTTCGCTGACCTTTTGATCTCAATGGAGATTAAGAAGACGATAGCGAAAATCTTTAGAGCGGCCTAAACATTTAAGCCTCGTTCGCCAGTTAAAAGGAGAAAATAAAATTGGAAGAAAACTTATAAAACAATCTAATGAGTCCATTTTTTATCTCTTCTTCTAATCTATCATTTCTTTAAAGAGAAAACCTTTTTTAAAACATTTTCAACGAAAACATATAATTGTTTATTTTTCTTTTTCTTTTATTATTATTTATTAATCAATTTATTTGGTAACTTAAGTGTCTAGTTATTGGAAATACATAGAGTTACTAAAAGAGAAAAAGCCTCGAAATATTCAATTCTAATTAAATTATATTATATATATATATATACACACACACACACATAGAGATTTATGTGAATGAAACATGAAAGAAATTTCATGAAAAAGCATTGAAATGTTAGTTTTAAACTTTAAGAAAATGTATACAAGAAAAAACAAGAAAAATACCTTCAATTCAGAAAAAACAAAGGAAAACAAAAAAAATTATTCCAAATAAAAATGAAGTATTCATGTATATGTATATATTAATAACAATGAACGATGAAAATGTCTTCAATTCTCTTACTCCTCAACAAATCGTACATATTTGGTCTCCTCAAGTCGTCCTACTCCTCAACTAATTTGGGCATATTTGATCTCCTCAACTTTTCTTACTCTTCAATTAATTCTTACATACTTGGTCTCCTCAACTCCTCCTACTCCTCAACTAATTCGTACATAATTGATCTCTTCAACTCCTTCTACTCCTCATCTAATTCGTACATATTTGAACTTCTCAACACCTCCTACTCTTCAACTAATTCGTACATACTCGGTCTCCTGAATTCCTCTTACTCCTCATCTAATTCGGAAATATTCGGTCACCTCAACCCCTCCTACTCGTCAACTAATTCGTACATATTTGGTCCTTTCTTTAAGAGTAAACCTTGATAGTTAATGGTATCGATAAGATTACTAACGCCGCAAGTTATGCCCACTCTGGTGGCCATGTCTTTTAATTCATCATATTCGAATATGCGGCGACATAAGGCTTTCGAACGCATTTGCAGCATTTGCAGAAATTTTTTTGCATTTCCTCTAGGCGCACTTCCACTGCTAGAATTGCGAGCAAGTTGACTGGTGGTTGCCATCGCTTGTAGATTTCTAGATGGATTATTCTCGATATAATCTCCCAATTTGATATCAGCATTGCTGTATTTAACCAAAGAGATGACATCATAAACGTGAGCCTTAGTCACTTCCGTTGAGAAATCAATGCGAGCACGCGCCTGACATAAACGAATCAATCCAGCGAGATGACTATTAAAAAAAATAACATAAATCGATATTCATCCTCCTTAAGAGTAAACTAATTTCTTTAATTTTTACCTATTTCTTGATAATAATTAAAATTTTGATTTAATTACCCAGAATTTATCGATAAAGCATCTTCTTCGCTTTGCTGTTGTTCTCTAATTTCCATATAAAACTTCTGAAGATGCTCAGTTGCGTCAGCAACGAATAATGGCTTCACTTGCTGACGGGCATAAGCTAAATAAAAAATACAAATTTTATGTTACCTTTATTAACACAGAGTACTTGAGGCAAAGATATATAAAATGGCGGGAGAATTGAAACAAGTACGAAAACTATATTCCGTAGCGACCGAATCTTCTATACCCATTATCGTCGTTTTACAAAAGTTTCCAAAAAAAAAAAAATATATATAACTTTTCATATTCTACAACATTGGATTGGATTGGGCGTGGTTAATTTTTTCTATACTCGTAGAATAATTTCTGCGGAAATATGTCTTGTAACTGTTGCAGTTTATGAGCAATGGGCAAAAGACACGAAAAGCGAAAGTCTTCTCAGTTCTGTTTGTACAGAAGTGTGGGCGTTGCGTGCGAGTTCTTTGATCTGTTTGAGCCATGTTCACATTTTTTTTTGGAAATTTTTGGACGATACCTACTTTTTTACTAAGGGGAAAAAGTTAGGCAGACGAACAAACAGATGGAGAGACAGACAGACCGACAAGCTTTACGTGCTTTGCTGGCTAAGAATTTGTATACCTCATAGGGTTTTTAAAGCTTGTTTCTGCGCGTTATAAATATCCTGAGAAAAAAATTAAATTTTGATACACTATGACACTGGGCAGGTGCGGTCAATTTTTCCCATAATTATGGCGTACTATAGTATGGTCGACCATCGTTCAAATTTGTATGCATTTATCTGCTGTAGTGTGCTTATGAGCGCAATGAACAAGAAACCTATTTTTTTCTCCTTTCGAAAAAGAGAAGTGTTCTCAGTGTATGTGGTACTGTAGGCATGTCCTATGGCTAATTTAGCTTATCTTCAACACCAACCTTCGTGTTTCTGCTACATTTAAAGTCGATAGCTTCATTTATGCGGCGAGTAGAATGTTCACAACAGACATTACATATGGGGACAGACGGACGTTCCAAAATCTATCTAGAATTTGACGCTGATCAAAAATATAGATACCTTGTGGGCACTCTGAAGTTTCCTTCTAGACGTTGCAAACGTTTTAACAAAATGAATATACCTTTTATCCTTCGGTGATGGATATAGTTGATCTGTAAAAATTTTGCCTCGTTTATATGTGAGGTGAAGAAATGCATGTGAAAAAGGAAATGCTGCAGCGGTATGCGCAAATATTAGTAACTTGGAAAAAGGAATATCGCTGATGAGGCACCTCTAGGATAGAAACATATATATATATATTGAAATTTGGACATGGCTTAGGCCACTTAATATTAACATCAAAAATAAAAACCTATTTATACATTCCGGAGTTTTGCTTCTACGATTCTAAGAGCATTTTGGTTTGTCTGGAACTAAGGCCAGGTCGTTCAAGCGTCGGGTTGTAGTAAGAGCGGAAGTCTCTTGATCTCCTTCTATTTGGAAAATCTAATAAATGCTAGCCGTGTAATGCTGTATAGAGTCGTACGGTTCAAAATATTAGGGGTACGCTATCCGTTCCGGTTACAACAAGTTTCAACAAATACGCTCATGTTTATTGGAATTATATTTGGCTCCTTCTTTTTAGCGTGGAATGTACGTACAATGACCTAACAATTGAACGAACATGAAGATGATTCATGGCAGTATAATTAAGACGCGGTCAGCTATTCTCGGCTACTGATAAAGTTCTTTTACGTCATTGTATTTTGTAGGAATCCCAACAAGAAAGAAACGCGACAGAAGCATTAGAAATTTATGGAAAGTGTTTTGTGAAGATATAGTTTATGATAGAAGACGTAGAAGGTGGTTCGAAAATCTTTCAAATAAGTGATTTCGATCTTTCTGATAAGCCACGCTCTGGGCGATCACCTTTGATCGATAACGATACTGTCAAGATCATATTGCACCTGGACATGACTTGCAGGTGTAATTAGTATGTAGAAAAAATGATTTAGAAAAATTATTTTTCGCTTTTGCTTACTTATAAATTTTTTTAGCAAGATGGTCGGTATTAGGTCCAATTCTTCGCCTTCGTCAGCACGCAACTTTAAACGTTCGATCAAATCGGTGCGTTCTATATTTTCTACGCTTAAATCCTTTTCGCTTGCCGTATTATTAAATTTTGGCAAAGTGTTGAATTTATTCATGATTGTTGTATTTTTCTTAAATCCACCGTGAACAGCTCGAACGTGCTCACTAAATATGGCATCGCCCTCCTTATTGGGTTTGTCTAACATAAGAAAAATTAAATGGAATTCATTTAAAAGTGCGGGACTAATCCGTATGTTATTGGTCAGTAGTTTCGATTGATCGTAATGGCCGTGCATTGAGTTTGCGGTAGCTATGACAGAGGCTGACGCTTTCAAATTTGCATAGATGGCGACAGTGGGTATAGCTACGAGTTGAGCTTGCATGAGACTAATCAAAGCATCCTGTTGCGAAGATAAACGATCTATATCATCTATAGCACAATGGCCTCTATTTGCTCTTAACAAACCACCGGATTCCAAGATACTGTTTGAACGGCCTTTAACAGCAACTGTTAGTTTAGGGCCACAGCCCGCCAAATTCTGCTTACTACGAATTAAAGCACCTTAGAAAGAAAGAAAAATATTCTAATATATGATTAAAAATATTTATGAAATTTCATTACCTTTCTGTGAGATCTGGGCGCATATCTTAGCTATACGTGATTTACCTACGCCAGGATCACCGATCAAGAGAACATTGATTTCTTCTTCGTCGTGTAATTGGGAACCAGAGCCCCCAATTGTCGATAATAAAGCACCGGCTTTAACTACTTCATGGCCATAGACTTCGGGTGCCAAGGAATGAACCAACAATTTGAAACTATCTGCCGTTCCATTTATAGTGGTAATAGCTTGTATATCAGCTTCGTTGAAATGATGAGGTGCCCGTTCAGCCTTTGTAGTCGAGCAAACCTTCAGGTAAACTTTCATTTGTCTACCCCCTGCTACTTCTTGGAGACTACGCATTTTCAAAACGCCTGTCATTACAACTTCTTCACCTATTACCACAGAATCAACTAAGTCATAATTTAGTTCTGCTTCCAAACAATAGTCGATCGACGTATCTTCATAATGTAATGCATCCAGCCGGGCCTCGGTCAATTCTATTGTTTGCTTCACCTTTAAACGGGTAAAAGGCGAAGAACGCATTTCTATGAAACCTTGTTTAGCCATACAGCCGAGAGTTTTACAACTAGTTGGCCGGTTGGGTTGGAGATCTGAAAGAGAAAACAAGCATGACTTTTTCCCCTGAAGGTAGATCGTAGTACGTCCTTTAGTATGTCTTTTTTTATTAATTTTACTGCATTTTTAGATAGCTGTCCTTTTTATCTATGCCAAAATGCCAAAACATCAGCAATTACTTATGTAATTATCAAAGCCATTTAACTTTATGAACACGTAGACTTACCTCCTTGTCTCAATGCTTGATCTTGTTTACAACGACTGCATTTGTAAGCTACCCATGAAGCATACACCTCTACGTCGCCCATAGACTTCACCACACCTCTCACGCAATACAATTGATCTATTTCCATTAAGGGGATTTGTTCCATAGGCTGCTCCACTAAAAATCCCTCCGGCCGAATATAAATTTTACGTGGCTTCGCTGTTCGTGGCACATGGTTGCATTCATCGCTTTTTCCTATACCCGAATGAGCGCCAATGGCTGCCTCCAATGCTAGCGTTTGCATAGCTAATGCCATAATAGTCATCGTTTTGTAGGGATTAGTTTGTATGTCATCTCGTAATGTAGGCCAATCTCTTTGCAAATCTTCATCCAGCTGCAATATTTTAGCCATTATCTGAAAATAGCCCTTTTTGTGTATGTCCACAAAATCATATTTCATTACGTAATTCTTGTAATGTGTTTCCATAAGTTTGATACGCGTATGGATTATGCTATTCTGCTCAAAATTTGAACTATAGAAATATAAACGCCACCCGGGATAGCCAACAGGAGTTTCAATAGTAAAAGATTGAATCATTTGTTCGGCATCTTCAGGAACGGCGTAAATCTGAGGTCTCAGAAAACTTGATGAAAAATCTCCAGCAATCCGCGGCCCCGCAGGAGGTGCATTTGGTGGCGTAGTACCCCAACCGCGACCGCGACTAGTGCCTGGAATAGTACGT